AAGTAATCAGTCAATCTTGCAAGAATGATATAGTTTAAAGCGTAATAAACTATTTTTGATATATAAATTGCACATATAAAAGAATAAGTGGATCACGTGCAAATAATTTGATAATTTTCCATATACAGTTTGTTTATATGATTTCTAGTCTGCTTAAACTATAGCCTGCTAAAAAACGTAACTAGAAAACGTCTTCCTATTATTTCTTAAATTGAAGCAGTGCTCCTAAGTCCTTCGATTTTTTTGTAAAAAGCACCAAATTATTACGACCAAAATTCTATCATCAACAACAAAAGATTATGTTTAAAACGATCCAGCCACGTTTCACCGAATCAATGACCAATGCCCCGAAAGTTAGCGATAATTCGCAATTCGACGTCGAAACGCAATGTATCATGGTGTATTCTTGGAAGATCACGTCAGTGCTTTTACATTCGAAATCGTACGGTAATCGTCGATAGACGCGCATACAGGTACAAAGAAGCCAGAGAATTTCCGATTTCTTGAAAGACTAACCGATCCGTCGATGCTGATTCCCGACCGGTACGATCTTACGAAACGCCAACAAAAAAAGTTCGAAGGGTAACTGACAATCGTCTAACGAGTACGCGCGTCTGTCTTTCTCTCTCCAGTTACTCGTCCATGTCCCTTTTGTCATCATTCCGTCTCTTTTTCGCCTTGGTAACGAACGATTCGATTCGCCACGCCTACTGCGCGTTCGCGCCGTCGAAGAATTTCGTCGACGCATTGTCCGAGCGACGAACTAGATAAAGAAAGGCGACAGAGAACGCGCGCGCCCAGCCTCCATATCAGCGTGCAAGAGAAAGAAATGAACGGAGGAAAAATTCGTGTCCATGCAATACCACTCGTATCGAGGCATCCGATTAGCAACGACGCCGTTATCGATTTTGCAACGTCGTACCCGAACCAGCTTGCAGCGCAGGAAAAGAGGCAGCACTAGGGCCTCGGTGGAGGGTACGAGGGGGGAGGGAGAGGGGGTAGAGGTGTGGAGCATGGGGTTCTTTTATAGCCCACGAGGGACGATTTTTCTCCTGCACGACTCGTGTGAGAGCGGCGCTTGGCAATTCTTATATACCAGCGCGTCACTCCATTCGCGAGACCACGGGGATATTTAAATTGATCTTGCAATCTGGATACGTTGCGATTCGTCGAGCGTGAACAATCTCTCTCGAGAGCATAACGACGACCGCCGACGACGATGAACAGTGTCGTGGCTGGAATCATTTGAACGTGCGTTCATGAATTCAGAAAAGCAACGCGTACCAACCTGATCGTACTCCAGTCGAGTAATCGAAAGTCGGCAAAAAAATCAACGGTCTGACTCATCGGCGTCTAGTACACTCTTCTTGACTATTTGTCTCTTTCTATTCTCCCCTCTCACTCTATCTCTCTCTTTCATGCCCCCCTCCCAGAAACAAGGAACGAGAGATGGACATGATTCGTGAAATGTGATAGATTCTCCCTCAATTCTAAAAGGCTACTAGAGAGCGTAAGAATAAAATATAGAGTATATTCCGCGTATCTTGTTCACGTAACAATCACAACTCCTCTGGAAAAATTCGTTGAAGAATTAAATGACTCGAATCTGCAGTTTTCACGAAACGTTCGAGACTGTGTTGATTGTAGAACGCTTCTTCCTGACAGTCCTACCATAAGAGGTCGCTAAAAGAGAAAAGGCGCTGTAGTGCAGCATCGATTATCGAATGAAGCGAATCGAGTCTCGATTATGAAATTTTCCGGCTATTACTTCACGAAGATCGCTAACAAA